CTCGAGGAAGCTCTGAGATGCACCTTTCTGCAGCCGTTTCTGTCGAGCGTGGTCTTCGGTGGGAGGAGTGGGGCCGGGTGTCCTGGCAGCTGCAACGGTGAGGGGCCTCTGCATCCGCACCGGCTGCCAGCCAGCTGCCATTTTCATAAATTTCAGACACTTGGAGCCTTATCGTCTTGGTGGCCAGGCAGCAGCCCGGTGTGGGCAGCAAGGGCACGTGCTGCCTTCCTCCAAAAAGCATTCTGAGGAGAGCGGTCGCAGCCTGCGCGTTGCAGCGTCTGCAGGCTTTGGGAAGTAGCGGAGTCTCCTATCATTCATTAAAACGCTATAATCTACTGTGAAAACCCTTATTCAAGGCCGCATGTGGTTTAAAGTGGCAAGCGGGTAATGAACTTGAAGAATGGGACGTGACAAGTGATTTTACTTGATCACGTATATCCAGTTTCAGGATTGTGAGAATCTGGGGGAAAAATGCTTAGTTGCAAAACAGTTGCACGCGTGCTGACCGACTCCCAGAGCTGCAGCGTCTAGACAGAAAATACAGAAAAGCAGGTTATGTCACTTAAATGTGATGTCTGAACCTGTTAGTTTGAAACGTATTCTGGAATAAAAATTATGCAAAATTAAATTAGTGTGACCTTACTTTGCATTTGGAGGCTGAATATGCCTATCTTGTAAAGCCTAGTGCATTTATAACACTTCCCTTGGGGAAAATTACAGAGAGAAATGGAATGAGGTCTCTTCTAATTGAAAAGTGACAATGATTAGGAAGCCAAATACAAAATGTGTTGAGTATTTTTTTTCTTGTTTTGTTGTGTGTGTGTTTTTAAGAATACCAGTAGAATTATAAATTATGTGCTTTGCAGTTTGGCTTGTTTTTCATTCCCCAAAGGCTTTTTATTAGCATAGCAGCTGAATTGCACTTGTATAATAACGTATTAACTCAAAGTTTGGGTTTTTAATGATCTTTCTTCATTAGTTTGACTGAGCTGCTTGGATAAAATCTTACCGAGTATCTCCAGCTTTCCAGTGTGTTGGGTTTTTTTCCCTCTTCTGCAAATGAAGCCCATGAAGACAAGTTAAAACAGAGGGAGAGTTGGCAGAAACTTTGGTGCCTCGAGTGGGTATGAGTCTCTTGAAACTTGAAAAGCACAAATTGAGTGTGTGGGACTTTTTTTTTTTTGTTTGTTTGGTTTGATTTTTAGTTTATTTTTTCCAAAGGCCAGAGTGGGCAACGTGAGCGTTCTTGGGATTAAAGCTCATCTCAACGTACCCGATGTGTTTGCTCCCAGGCGCTGCGAGGCTGCGCTGCTCCTCGCAGCTGGGCTTGGGGAAGAGCAGAACTGAGGGCACTGTGTGCCCGCTGCCCTCCCTGAGCTCCTGCGGTGCGGGGAGCAGAGGTCCTGGTGGGTTTAGGCTCCTCATGTATACATACAGACTGGGAAGAAATTTTAGTTTCAGCAGCACCACCAAAGACATTGGGGCATGTCTTGTATCTGATACTTAAATGTTGGAGCGCTTGTCTGTTGCAGGACAAGGGTAGATGTGCTCCACTGCAGTGATTGAGCTGTTTGCTTCCCCGTGCTAACGAAGGAAATCGGAGAAGAGCAAGGCCATTGGCATGAAAAGGCCAAAGTCTGAACGGGAGGGGCTGATCAGGTTTTATCGTTCAGACACGTTTCACCAAACCTGTTTACAGAATGTTAATTTGCAGCTTAATTGTTCTCCCTCCTCCCACTAAGCAAGATACTAAAATCGCTCTTCTATTGATAACGCCAGTGTGATTGCCGTAACGTTAGACTAGATTCCACATTGAAATAACCCAATTTAGAGTTCGAAGAGCAAGGCATGGTGCATGGCCAAACACTGCCTGTGCCTCCTGGCCTCGCCCTGTGGTCCCTGTGGGGTCCAGCCCATCCAGATGACCAGCTCCAGGAGAAGATGCGAGGGAGACATGGGGCAAGAGAAGCATCCATGCTGAGAAGCAGCATCCCCTTTGTTCTGGTAATCATACCGTGCCTTCCTATTGTACCTCTTGGCAACTGTTTTGTAATACCCCAATTACAGGAGTCTCAGAGCCAGAATAAACTGCATTCAGGGCTGGATGGAGATGGATGAGATGCCGGTGTGTTGTCCCAGATCCTGATGGAATTCCCACCCTTTCTTCTGCTTCAGGCTTTGCTCGTTATATGTCTGTACGTGTGTGCAGGAAGCTTGGCTTAGGTTGTTTGTAAATGACATATGTCTCGTGTGTGTTCCTTCCTAGGAAGGAATTAGGGCAGTGCTTCCTGATGGCCAAAACTTCACCTGTGTCACCAAAGTACTGTGACCAATTTAACAAGGTTTGGTTAATTTAAGGGACCTCTCGTCCTAGGAAAGGAACTTTGCTTTACACTACCTTGGTCTTGTTTTTCTTCAGAAATATAACCTCTTTTAACAGAAAAGGAAGTTTTCCGTCACTGGCCTCATTTATATTTTTTCTTGTGTTTTCTTACTGTGGCCAAAGCACATGCTGCGTTTTGAGGCTAAATTGACTCATCTTCCTAAAAACCTTGGTTGTTTTTTGGTTTTTGTTTTCTTTTCTTTTCTGCAAGGAATTCCACAAAAAGCAGGCTCTCCACCCATGCTGGGTGGCTGCTCTCCAGCCTGTGGGCTCTGCTGCCCACGTGTAGGTGAGGCAGGGGGCTCTGGGTCAGTGCCCCCTGGGGTCTGGCTCTTTGTGGGCAGCCTGGAGACCCCCTGTGCCTGGCTGGGGTGCCAGGGCTTCACCCCACCGGTTGGGTGCCGGAGGTCAGTGGGGATGCTCGAGTGCCTCTGGTTGCAGCTGGCACTAGGACATGCCTGTGTAGGGACACTCTCCTACATAGGGGGGATGACATGGGAAGAGACATTGTGCCTTTTTTTAATGGTTTTGAATCCTCCTCTTTCCCCAGCCCTTTAAGTTGTGGTGTGTTTGTGCGTCTGGTTAATCTGATTTGTGTTTAGAAGAAACGAGCTCCAGTTTCAGCCCATTCTTCCAGCACAGAGCACCCATGGGAGCTCTCGGGTCTGGTCACCTGTCATTCCCATGGGTGAGCTGTGCCACTGCTTTGGGGCTGGATCATAAATTGTTGGGAACATGTTTCTTTTCCAGGCTCTTCCCCTTACTGTGGCATTTGGGCACCTTGCTGGGGTTGCTGTGAAAGACCCAAAGCTCCTCTTTTAAGAAGATGCCTTTAGCTAAAAGGCATCTTTAAGGCAAAACTCCTTTGCAACATTTGGCTTTTAATCTCTCTCTTCCCACCCCTTGTGCAATCTTGTGGTGTAGAGGCAGCTGCATTTTAGGGGTGCTGTAAGTACATGGGCTCCAAGTCACTCATACATCTAACTTTAAGTGATAGATAAGGCTCCTGCTTTCAAGGCATAACGCTTTTTGGAGGTGGTGGGCAGAGCTGGTTAAGCATTTTGGGCAATGGCAGAAATAGCTGCTGTTTAGCAGAATGAGCTCCGAGGTAACTGGCAGCGCTCACCACCTGGACTGTTTTCTTGACATTTATTTGCTTTTACTGGCACTTAAATGCCACCTGCCAGGAGAAAACTTTCCATAAAAAAACCCCAAAATTAAATTTGCCTGACTCAGCAGAAGCCACCCCAGCTGGTACGAGTGGTGTGATGCTGCCCTTCGAGGCATGATGGGTCTTCCTATGTATCTACAGATATATATGTGTGTGTGTGTGTGTGTGTCTGTATAGATAAAATACAGATGGCAGCATCCATGATGGCTTAGGGCACAGCTTTCCAAAACTGGATTTTATAGCTGTCCCTGCTGAGAAGCAAACAAAGTTTAAATCCCCAGAACTATTGAATTTTGGTGGTCTGGCCCCTCCTTTATGATGAGCACTGGAGTTGCTGCTGCCCAGTCCTGGGCACGGTGAGCCCTGGGCACTGCTGGCACGAGGGGGCTTGGGGGGAGCGACCGAGCGGTTCCCAGATGGCATCTGCTCTCTGGGTGCCAAGTGCATGGAAATAATGACCCCAGCGCTATGTTTGCCTCCAGTACTCAATTTTCCTTAGCCTCAGAGAGGTGTGAGGAATTATTTCCTTAGGAAATTTTAAGAGCGTTTTGAGCGGTTTCTTACTGCCTCCTGCCAAGTGTCTCCGGAGTTAACCGGATAGTCTGTTGTTTGCTTGTTCTTGTTTGTTTGGAGGATTTTTGGCAGTTTTCCTTTATGCCAGTTCAAGCCACTCAAGCTGCCACTGTCAGCTGGCTGAGCCCTGAGCGGAGGGATGTCTGGAGCTCCGGGACATGGCCCCCATGGGCAGCCACATCGCACCCATCTGGCGTCTCACCGAAAAGCAGGAGGTCTCCCCGCCTGCACCCTGTGGTGGATGGGCCGGTGTCAGTGGGAGGGGTGCTGCCAGCGCCTGCTGTGCTGTGCCGTGCCGTGGGCTCCCTGTGCCACTGTCCGACCCCTGTGACAGAGGGGACGTGTGCCTGGTGCGAGGATGTGCCGAGGAGGACTTAGTCCGGTCCTCCCTGGAGGAAGGAGTAGTGGTGATGGGAAGAGAATTGCAGAAATTGAGCTTGCATTTAGCTAAATTGTTTCATTAGGATGAATTATGCTGGTTCATGGTTTCATGGCCCCGAGCGAGGCACGCTCAGCACCGAGATGCTGCTGGTTTGGTACCCGGCGGTGGGGGCATCCCCTCCACTGCAGCTGGGAGGGCTTTGGGAACTCCTGTCTGCATTGTAGCTTGGAAACGCTCTGCTTTGTTAGATAGTCTTTAAAGATCCCTCCTAGAGACTCTTCTGAGGTACTGAAAAAGTGAATTAATGAGTTTTTTATTAAGTAAATAGCTGGGCTCAAAGCATGCAGAGCCCACGTAGGCATTTGTGAGAGCTTTATGGGGTAAGGATTCAGCAGTGTCATCGGCGTCTCGGCCACATTAGTTCTTCTTGTGCTCAATTACATGCTGCTTTTTCTGGTGGCTTAAAGTCTGTCTCTCTCTTGCAGCGGAGTTGGAGTTTGTACAGATAATCATAATCGTGGTGGTGATGATGGTGATGGTGGTGGTGATCCCGTGTGTGCTGAACCACTACAAACTCTCTGCGCGATCCTTCATCAGCCGGCACAGCCAGGGGAGGCGGAGAGACGAGAACCTCTCATCAGTAAGTCACACCTTGCTCTTCCAACCCATGTTGTCTTGCACCATTTGCCAAATGATGTGACGTTGGGGAAACATCAGAGCCAAAGGCATTCGTTTGGGTTGTGTTTGCCCATGTGCCACTTGGCACTGCATGAAGAGACACCCTCTAGGTTGGGTCTTGGCATCATCTTCTGTCTCTCAGATATTGCGGGGGGCGGCCTTTTAGGGATGCCTCTGGCTCTTTAAGGTGCTCTATGTTGTAATATATGGACAGCCATAGCCTCTGCCTTTGCCCTGAGCTTTGCAATTTGGACTTTACATCAGTAAAGTAACTGCATGAGGCTGTTCCTGAAACCACCACGTACCCTCAGCTAGTTGGGGTGCGTATGCCTTGCCTTTAACAGCCCCAAACTATCGACTCCTTTGGCGGCTCCAGTTGGAGACTCTTAAACGACTGTATAAAAACTTACTGCCTGCCTTGAAAAGAATAGGAAATCCTGAAAGACTTTTTCCAGTTTGCACCAGTGGTGCTGCCATTACTGTGGTGGAGGGGTCAGAAAACCCTTGTCAGCCAGACAAGCAGAAATCTCTCCATGGGATGCTCGAGAGGTTCCCTGGGTAACCCAGGCTCCCTGCTTCATAAAAGCCCGAGGAGAAACTTGTTAATTGTACCTCTGACAGGGACTCGAGGGGGAGCCTCTCCGGCCTCGAGGCAGATGTTGGTTTATGCAGTTTCCTCAAATGCAGCAGTTCAGAGAGACTTAGAAGAACCTATAGAGAAAAGACATCATGTTTTCTTGAAGGGTGAGCATGTACTATTCACCGCTGCCTACATGGCTCTGTCTTCAGTGCAGGGATATCTTGTACTGATACTTTTTTTTTTTTAGCATTCAACCTGAAGGATCTTAAAGCTCTTTAAACGATAGGGCTTCCTCTAGGTCACTGCTTCGTGCCCTCTCCTCTGCAGGCTTCCAGGGCAGGTGAGCACACCGGTGCTGCCTTGTGGGGTCTGTGTGGGGCCGTGATCTCTTGTGTCAAATCCATGCTCGCTGCAGGAAAAAGATCAAATACTGGGATCGCTTTCTTTTTTCTTTTTGTCTTTTTTTTTTTGAGAGAGAGAGAGAGAGATATCTAAATCTTTTAATAACTAAGTCTTCAGTACAGTGCTGTTGAAGGCTGCCCAGACAGCAGACACCCAGGGCACAGGCTGTCCCTCTGCTCCGTAGCTGCTCTTTTCGTCACACATTACACACAGCAGACGAAGGTCCCGTATCGGGCGCTCTGTGCCCAAGTGAGGAAGACACCCCTTGGGAATGAGGGCTGCGCAAACCCCAAGCTCCATTAAACCACCCTTTGTTTTGTGGGCTGTGGAGCAACGTCTCCGGAGGGCCCAGCAGTGAGCTCCGCTCCTGGTCGTTTATTGATGCTGTGCAGCAAGATCAAAGTGCTGGGAGTGCGTGATCCTGCCTTAAACCAGCCGGTGCGAGGGTGGTGAGCGCTCAAGCACCTGCCTGCTTTGGGGACCAGAGCTAAACGTCCTGCAAGTATGCTGGCTCCTCCCGGAGTTACAGAAATCTTATGTCTCTTCTTACCGTCCCGTGCACCCGCTTCCAAGAGTAGCAGAATGTGGGCATCTGAGCACATGAATTATTAAAAATAGCAGAAAGATTGTTTTCCAGTTTTCAGATTTTTTTTTACTGTTTTATGTCCAGAATGTTTTACTTGAACAATAGTAAAATGTTTCATTTTACATTTTCAAAGCAAGTATCAGATCAAGCCTTTTTTATTTTAATATACTAATTTCTGTTTTCTTAAGTGGCCTATGTTTTATTTTCTTTAAAAAGAGGAAAGAAGGCTGACACGGAAAGAAGAGAAAATCACATGGAGATTGAACAAAAAGTGCAGGCTGAATAAAAAATCGCTGACTGTTTAAAAAATAGTGCCTTCCCCCGCCTTTGTTCTTTTTCTTTTTTTTTAACTTTTCTGTTTTTAAACTTCACCAGGCCAAAATTTCTAGCAACTTTTTGACCCAGTCCCCACACCAAAACAGCTCTGTTATTTATTCAACCTTCAGACACACCAGCAATTAAATGGCTTTTCAGCAAAGGTTTACCTCCGTGCCTCTGCTAGACCTCAGTGAGGATGCAGAGTCTTCAAAACCTTTCTCAGAGCTAAGGAGAGAAATGCAAATGTACCATTTTGGGGTTCCCCCCCCCACCTTTATCATTCTTCCCCTTCTCCCTGCCCCGGTCTGTGCTGCAAGTGCAGCGCTGATGGAGTGGCAGCCAAGCTTCCCTGTGGCCCAAGCGCCCTGCTGACGGGACAGAGAAGCCCTCGTGTGCGAAGCGGGACGCTCCTTGCAAGGGGATCAATCATAATAAAGATCTTAAAGGTAGCTCCGTTTGGATTTAGCACAGCATGTCTTTTTGTAGGAAACAGCTCCAGTCTAAACGAGTGCTGAAGGCTGGCAGGCAGAGGATACGCTGGATACCAGTTTATGTAATCCATTAAACTTGTGCTGAACTGGTGTTGGGCTTTTTAAATCCCAAACTTCATTTTGCTGTCGTGACTGCAGATGGGCACTGATGCTGCATACACGCTTTTCATCTTTTAAAATATTAAAGTAGTTCATCCCGTGGTCAGGATACTGCTAGGTCTGCTGGAGTTGTCCTTTTTTGTTGTTGTAGCTCAAAAAATACGGCTGAAGGAGAAATTAATTTCCCTAAAGTTTTTTTAAATGCGGTTCTTGCTAGCAAAGAATTCTTGTATTACATCATGTGTTTCTCCATCACTGTTCTTGCTGTACTTAAACTCTATCTCCTTACAACCTGTACTTAAACCTGTATCCTATAACAAAGTACGTTTGTTTTTCCAGAACTGAGAATATTTAAGAAATGCTACTAAAAATTTTTTTGCAATAAGAATGGCACTGTCCTTGCACCTTTGGAACAGTGATATCCCACTCCCCCAAGAAAAAGTGGTTTAAATGCAATTTCCAAGCATACTTTTGTTCCCCAAAATGGAAAATGTAAGTCCTCCTGAAGGCTCGGAGAGTTAATCTGCACCATGCAGCTTTACAGAGAAAATTCTCTGACATTACGGAAACAAGCAGTTCTATAAAAGTCAAAGATTGATCTCTAAAGAAATTTAAAAGTAATTTTAGGTTCTGCAGTGAGTGCTGGAATACTTGTGGAGGCTTTTACAGCCGTATTGCTCATCAGACAGCAGAATCTCAGCTTTCGTTTCAGAAAACCTTAGCTTTCTAGACTCAGCCATTGTTGAGACGATTTCAAGTCCTAAATATTCCAAAAACCAGAGGTGAGCAAGGAGAGCCCCGAGGACGAGGATTTATAGCAGTGATGCTCCCTCATGGGGCAGCGCAGTTTTTCTTGGCTCGGTGGGGCTGCGTAGCCATCCCACAGCCAAAGCGCAAAGGCTAAAAGTATATATGTTTTCTGTCTCTGAGGCTTTGCCCTCCTCTGACTACTGATTTCCAGCAATTTTAATCCCAGTATTGAGTTTTTAGGAGGGATGAGCTGTTACCCAGATGGGCTCCGCAGTAGTGCGTGAGGCAGAGGGTTGGTGTCAGCGAGCGGTGAGCGTGCTTGTGGTCGGTCAGCCGTGGGCACGTAAGCGTGTCTGGGTCAAGCCCTAGAGTCCCGGGAGAAGTGGTTAATAACAGCTGCAGAGATCCAGCTCCTACAGAAAATGGGTCTCCTGTCTGCTCCTTACCTCTCTGCGGATCCCATTTTAATGGTGTTTCTACTGGTTTGCTACTTGTGCATCCGCATGTTGCCCGGAGCATTGTTCTTGGACCTCGTTAACTCCTCTGTTTGTACAGACGTGTGAGCCAGAGCTTTCCTTCTAAACGCCTGGGTGGGATGTTGGGTGCAGGCTTTGGGTGAGTGGGTACTTAGGGGAGGTTTTGGGGGGAGCAGCTCACATAAAGGTGTGTACGTGCCCTCCCCATCGCCTGCCGCAGCGGGAAGCCCCAGCTGAGTGCAGCGATGCTCCGCACGCTGGGAAGCACCGGGCTGTAGCCGCCCTCGCGGGAGCCGGCTGATATCACTCCCCGGAAAGGGGGAAGCAGATGGGATATTGCCATGGCACTGCCCACTGCCAAGTTAAATATAAAACATCTAACAGAAGGCAGCGGGGTACTTGCTGCTCAGGAAGTCTGCCACGGGGGCATGGCAAAGTAAACACAATTTTCAGAGTGCTTCCCGCTTCTGCCCACTGCTTTGGCGTCCTTCGGGGTGAGGTGAAGGGCTGGCAGCGTGCGTGGCAGCACTGGAAACCCTCCCTGTGCCCTTTGGTGTCAGCGCCGTGGCTGAGCAGGGGGTTAGAGGCAAGGATTTGATCTGTGGCAGATGCAGTTCCTCTTGGGTCTTTTGGCTGCTGGGGTCAAATTTCTATCCCTGCAGGCAAGAAACACATGTAAAATGGACCAGACTAAACAGTTGATGCATGTGTAAACAGTTGCATATTGAAGTCTCAAGGTCTGTATAAAACACGGCGTTGCATTGCTCGGGAAGGGCTATGCGGTACACAGCTCAGACAGCGCATGCATTAGCTGTAGCTGGAGAGGGTGCGGGTATTGCGGCACTTAACCTCTGCTACAAGGAGATGCTCCCTAAAAAACACCGAGAAGTGGGAAGAATCTAGGCCGTCTCATTTCCATATAAATCACTGTTTTCTTTGCACTGGCAACAGGGACCGCCTTGAAGTTTATGTGCAGAGCTGAGCTTCAAAAACAGGAACCTGATGGGATTGTCTCTGTATCTGATACCATGTGCAATGCCACAAAGAAAACATATTCCAAAGTTGGGGATAATGAAGAAGAAAAAGGGAGGGGGGCGGGAAGGAGGAGAGGGGGGCATATAATGGGTGGCTTCTTTGGAGATTTTAACGCAGTGCTGGTGCTGCGTTTCGGGCAGTCGGGTGCGTGTTGTGGGGTGCCCGGGTGCTGAGGCTCCTGCTGCAGGGACTCCCCCGGTCTGTCCGCTCTCGGAGGTGCTTCTGGGGGGAGCAGAGATGCTGCTCAGCCTCCCACTGGGATAGCTGCAAAGGTATGCAGTGACATTTTCCCTTGCATGCCGCAGCCTGGTATGAGGCCAGCTGTGCTTCACAGCTGGGTGAGGTCCAGGGAGCATCAGACAGGCAAAATCCTTCTGACTTCATCAGCAAAGGTATCCGTGGTGCTGCGGTATCATTGCAGGTTTTTACAGGCTTTCACCGGGGCACCAGGCTGCTCAGACCGCCACCACGGTTATTATAGAAATATGTATTTTCATAGTAGGAAAGCTTATGGTTTGCTCATCTGGAGAGCCCTGCTGCATAGGGCCCAAGAATGGCCTTTGGATGGGACACCTTAAAGAAAAGAAGGGGAAAAAGAAACACCCTTGGCTTTTTTTTTTCCCCCCCACTGGTGATAAATACTTCTGCCTGTGCCTGACTTGCTAATGCCAGAACTGGAGATTCACCTGCAAGGAACTGGGAAGTGCCAGCTCTTCCAGGTTATAATTATGAGCCTTCTGGCTTGTTTTCCTCCAGCCCTGCCTGCGGGAGGGATGTTGCTATATGTGAATATTAGCAATATTTAAATATTTTAGTTCTTAAGGCAAAAGTGTCTGTGTATGCTCGAGAGTATCACCAGCAAATGGGAAGAACCTTTGTTTGTTTGTTTTGATCATGAATTGTAAACTAATCTCATGGTTTGGGGGAAATTGGCTTGTGGCTTTATCGTGCCTGGGGTTGTTGGTGCCTGGGTTGGGATTGCAGGATCAGGGTGATGCAGTGTAAGGAAGCCTCTAGACCTCAGTTCCTCAGCCTGTTTAAGCTAAGGATCACTTCTCGTTTTGGGGAAAAAACACTCTAGAACCATCCTCTTGATACAGACCTCTTTTTTTTTTTTTTTTTTTTTTTTTAAGCCAAATCAAAATTAGGGTTAACATTTGGTTATTCACTTACTATCTTTGTTTTCCCATGATTTCTTTGATTGTGTGCATCAGAATGTGGGTGTGAGGGGGGTTTTGTTGTTGTTTTTTTTTTTTTTTTTAAATCTTATCATTATTTCATGGAGCATTTTCTGATGTCTTGTGAATCACCCATGGCTCATGGATCACAAATTGAAAAATACTTCTCTGGCATGTTTAAACCAGGGAGAGAAACATGCTGGGTGTGTGTGGGTGGGAGGGGGGAAGTCTGCAAATGGGAGAGCATTGTTTGCTGGTGCCGTTCTCATCGTTCATTCTGCAAGTGATCCATTAAATATAAATGGAGGTGAAAATGGAGGGAAATTTTAATCAGAAGTGTTGTTTTCAGTGGTAATATGCTAATACCCTTAGCATAGACCCATGTGATACCCAGCATATATAATAATAGCTAATACCCGTACTAGAGCATGTCGCCTGCTTAGAAGAGGGTGCGTGCTGTGCGCTGCTGCAGCCGGGGCAGGAGCGCGTTGACGGCAGCACCAGCGTCTCACTTGGGCAGTGGTGCAGGATGAAACCTGGCACGAGCCCTTTGCAGAAGGAGCTTAACCGCTGCTGGCAATCAGACTCACTCTGCGCTCTCTTCTCCTTTCCAATGCAGGAGGGAAGCCTGTGGCCTTCGGAAAGCACCGTGTCGGGGAATGGCATAACAGAGGTGAGGGCGATGTGGGTGCGGTTGCTGCTGCCTTTCCCGCTGTCCCGGGCTGCAGTGTCTCACGCTTCTCGCCCTCTTTCTCTCTTTTTCTCCCTTTCAGCAGCAAATCTACACTCCAAGACCCAGCGACCGCCTGGCAGTGCCATCCTTTCTGCAGAGGGACCGCTTTAACAGATTCCAGCCAACCTACCCCTACATGCAGCACGAGATCGACCTGCCGCCCACCATCTCGCTGTCCGACGGCGAGGAGCCCCCCCCGTACCAGGGACCCTGCACGCTGCAGCTGCGAGACCCCGAGCAGCAAATGGAGCTCAACAGAGAGTCGGTCCGGGCCCCCCCCAACAGAACCATCTTCGACAGTGACTTGATAGATAACTCCGTGTACGGGGGGCCGTGCCCCCCCAGCAGTAACTCTGGCATCAGCGCGACCTGCTATGGGAGCAATGGTAGG